CCTCCTGCAGGCTGGAGAACCCGGGGCTTCCACCCTGCCCTCCGAACTTCCAGGATTCCCACCTCCCGGCTCTGTCTTACCCGGTGCAACCCTTCCAGAAGCTTCTCGCAGACATGGGGGCTTGGAAAGCACCTGGGCAAAGTGTGAAAGAGGCCCCAGATCTCCCTTCCTCCAGCCCCCCTCCATGCCCCGTAGTCCAACAAGCCGGCTTTGCCTGTGAGCGGGCCACCAGTGTTCCAGGGTCTTCCTGTCCGCAGGGCCCCATCTCTCTATGTCCGCAGCAGGAAGTCAGTGCCCGGAGAGAGGAGGGGACCAGCCAGGACAGTCTGGGGCTCCCCTGGACCTCCCCAGCTGCACCCGCCAGAACCGTTCCCACCGGTACCGGCACCCCCACGAGGCCAGGCTGGGCCACAAAGGGTGACTCTGGGGAGCTGGGCCTGGGCTGGGGGTGGGGCTGCCCGAAAGCTCCAGGCTCAGGTTGGCAGGTGGCACTGGCAGAGGGAGGGGACAGTTGGGAGGCAGGACTTCATGGGCTCAGGGAACCCCGTTTTCTCCCCGAGGGCTCAGCGAGGCCCCGCCTGGCTCAGAGGGTGACAGTGTGACTGACGCAGACGCTCAGCCCAGTTACAAACCTGGGCACCGCCACACCGGCTGTTTTGGAACCGACCGTTCCACCTTCTGCCTGGGCGTGGTTGGCAGCCTCTGAGTCCAGTGATTTTTTTTCCCGGAGCCGGAGGTCCGGGAATGCAGGGGTGGAAGAGACTTCTGGGTCACCCCCCCCCCCATGCCCTGAAGGTGCCCCTGGTCGTGATGACCCCTCCAGATCCAGGCCTGACCTCCCAGCTCCTCGGGAGACCCCACCTGCCTGCTGCTTTCCTGGGTGCTACAGTGCAGAGCCCAGACTTTTTCGGAAGGTCTTCGGACTTGGGCAGAGGGGCTGGGGCGATCGGCAGTACAGCAGGGAGGGCACTGGCCTTGCATGTGGCTAGCCAGGTTCAGTCCCCAGCTCCCCATTACGTTCCCCGAGCCTGCCAGGAGTTATCCCTGAGCTCTGCTGGCTGTAGCCCCCAACAGAACAAACAAACAGACACAGCTTGGGTGGAGCAGAGAACTATCATGAAGTAGGCGGGAGAGCACTGTGGCTTGAGTCCTACAGGATGCAGTTGATGGAGAGTCATCGAGCATGGACACTCCTTGGCCCACAGGAAGAGCTGTCTGATACATGGGTCCTTCCCTGCCCTGACCCTCCCAGGTGGTCCCAGATCAGTCAAGGCAGATAGAAATCGCTCCTGCTTTTAAAGTTCTTCCAAGAAGGAAATTTATGATGGAAGGAAGAGCATGTCGCTCTGAAGACTTCTTTCTTTCTTTCTTTCTTTCTTTCTTTCTCTCTTTCTTTTTTTTTTTCTTTTTAGGTCATACCCAGGGATGCTCAGGTGTTACTCCTGACTCTACACTCCTCAGGAATTACTTCTGGAGGTGCTCAGGGGACCATATGGGATGCTGAAAATTGGACCCAGGTCATCCGTGTGCAAGGCAAACGCCCTACCCACTGTACTATCACTCCAGCTCCGCTCTCTCTCTTTCTCTTTTTTTAAATTTTATTTATTTATTTGCTTTTCAGGTCACACCCAGCGATTCACGGGGGTTACTCCTCACTCTGCACTCAGGAATTACTCCTGACAGTACTTGGGGAACCGTATGAGATTCCAGGAATTGAACCTGGGTCGGCCGTGTGCAAGGCAAGTGCCCTACCCGCTGGACTATCTCTCCGTCCCCCTCCATCTCTTTCTTTACTCCTTCCTTCCTTCCTTCCTTCCTTCCTTCCTTCTTTCTTTCTTTCTTTCTTTCTTTCTTTCTTTCTTTCTTTCTTTCTTTCTCCATTTCTTTCTGTTTCTGGACCACACCTGGCTGTGCTCAGGGCTTACTCCTGGCTCTGTGCTCAGGGATCACTCCGGGGGGGTGGGGGGCTAAGGGGACCATACAGCATGTCCAGTTGCATGCAGGCAAGTGCCCCATCTGCTGTGCCATCCCAGGCCAGAGAGCGCAGAGCGGAGCACCAACCCCTTCAGGGAGAGCTCTGGCAGGGAGGAGCATGCCAGGCGGGGCAGGGCATGGTCATGCTCCCGCCAGGGTTTCCATCTTCTCATCCCTCTCGATGCCTCTGGAACCAGAACCACAACAGAACAGAGATGCCAGGAAGTTATGAAACTGATTCAGAATTCCAGGGAGCCCTGGGGCGGGGCTGCTGCACCCGGCACCCCAACTCTTGCCCCTGGCCTGGTCCCCCCTCCCCACTCCCTCCACCCCGCCCCCAGCATCCACCCTCCTCACTCACAAAGAACTTCCTGGGGCAGAGGCAAGCCCACCTGGGCGAATCCCTTTCTGTTGAAGGGTTTCTCTAGAGATCTTCGGCTTGGGATTTTCTCCCTCTGAGGATTCCTCCTTCATCTGAAGAGCTGAAAGGAGGAGGTGCAAGCAGGTCCCAGCAGGCGGTGGCGGTCCTGCCAAGCGGGGCTTTGCGGTCTGGACAAGCCTGGGACAGGCTCTGGGCTGGGGGCTGGCCTGCGAGGAAGGGACGCAGTGGGGAGGGGGCGGTCCAGAAATGCTCTTTGGTGGAGCTGGTTCAATAGGTCTTGGGATGCAAGGGGGCAGTGTCCGTGGACCCTTTGAGGGGGAGCGCCTATGCAGAGTGGAGAGAGAGGCCTGGGGGGCTCTGGGAGCAGATGCTTTCCTCTAGACGGAGCCGGTGCCCACCCAGGTCTCAGCCCAGCCTGTGGGACCCTCACTTGGCCCCAGAGTCTGCTGGCCAGAAGCAGAGCAATGTGGCCTTGGATTCTGCCATGATTTGTCCTTCCATCTGCTCATCTGTTCGTTTGTCCATCAATTATCTATGTATTCATCCATCCGTCATCCATTCATGTGCTCCCCACCCACCCACCCATCCCCTACCTATCGTCCATCCATCCACCCACCCACCCATTCCCTATGCATCATCCATCCACCCATCTATCCATCCATCCATCATCCATCCATCCATCCATTCTTTCCTCCGTCCTTCCATCAACCCATTCCCGTCCACCTACCATCCATCCATCCACCCATCATCCGTCTATCCACCCACCGACCCACAAATGTTCCCTTCTGTGCGTTTGCTCTGTGCTGGCCTCTCCTAAGATTCAGCGTTTTTCCCAGACTCTGGGGGCTCAGGAGCGTGACCTCTGGCCCCTAGGACATGACCTCACCAGGCTTCTAGTGTAGCCCCCTGGCTTGGCCAGCTTCGCTGCTAGGTCCATGTCCGGAGCCCCGTGACTGTCCCCTGCTACCCCTTTTGGGCCCCCTGCACTCTTCCTCTCACACCTGAGTGCACAGGGCAGGGGTCAGGGGTCAGGGGGAGGGGAAGGGGGCCTGTCTCTGCCCAGCTGCCTAGGGTACGGCCCCTCTTTCTCCCCTGCAGGTAAGAGCCTGAGAAGTTGCGTCTGACTTGTGCAAAGAGGGGGCCCAGGGGCTGGAGCAATAGCACAGCGAGTAGGGCGTTTGCCTTGCACGCAATCAACACGGCCGACCCAGGTTCAATTCCCAGCATCCCATATGGTCCCCCGAGCACCGCCAGGAGTAATTCCTGAGTGCATGAGCCAGGAGCAACCCCTGAGCATTGCCGGGTGTGACCCAAAAAGCAAAAAAAAAAAAAAAAAGAGGGGGCCCACCCTAGCATGCCTAGGCTCTTCAAACAGCATGTTTAAGCAAGAGGGGGGCCTGGTGTGGGGGCTGGGGAGAGAGACGGCTAAGAGAGGGACTCCCCACCACGAAGCCCCTCCGCTGACACCCCCACTGCCCTGTGCTCTGGCTGATCCCTGTCCTGCTTGTGGGGACTGCTCACGCCAAGGTCAGCCAGGGAAGCCATGGTTTGGGGGGCATTAGAGCCTGACTTGGATTGGGGGAACAGGCAGGGAAAACCCCTTCCCGGCACGGGGGCCCAGAACCTGCCGCCCCGGCTACGCCCACCTCCTGCTGTGCCCGGCCAGCCTGGCCCTGCCCAAGGGGAGGCATGTTTGCACACGCGGGCTCTGGGGCTCCCGGCAGCCCTTGGCTCCTCTGCCGGGGTCTTTCCCTGAATGTTTCCTGGAGCCCCACACCTCACTGGGCCTCTGGGGAGGGAGGGGATGGGGGAGGGTCTGGCCTGGCACAGAGGGAGAACGAGGGAGACTGAGAGAGCGCGGCGGGGATGGCCCAACCCGGCCTCCTGCCTGGCTCTGTGCCACTCCTCTCCGTTCCCGTCCCTGGTTCCGCCCGGGTCGGAGGGACGCGTGTGTACATGTGTGTCCATCGGGACTGCTGGCACCTCCCAGTGTCCGGCCTGTCTGGAGATCCTTTGGCTTTCCCCTCTGCCACCACCTGTCGGTCCCGGAGCCCACACGGGGCCGTTTCCTCTGGACTGTCACGGGCGGGTGTGACGCTCGGAGACCCGGTTGCTTCCAAACCATTTGGCTCCAAATCCACCTGCTCACGCACGCCCCTGACTCAGGCTGGGGACCCGCTGATCTGAAATCTGGGACCCCGGCCGGTGTGACCCGGTTCACAGCTGCCGGTCTGTCCTGTGGGCCAGGGACACCTCACCTTTTGCCCTGGGGGGTGGGGGGGCCAGCAGGGAGGACAGAAGCTCTGAAGCGAGTGCGTCAGGCTGACGGGTGCAGCTGGACAGGTTGCTGAGCCGTGGAGAATAATTAAGCGGGTGTGTGTGTGAGGTGGGGGGGAAGGGGGGCAGGAGAGGGGAGGAAAAAAACACTTCTTTCAAAAATCAGGTTGGGTCTGAATGCCTGGGCGCGGCCTGCGGCTCTGAGCCGACTGCTGGCTCTGGGCCCGCCGGGGCCCCTCCTCTCTCTCCTCCTCCCGCCACCCGGGCCCGGAGGTGTGTCTTGGGGCTCCCAGCGGTGTTCCCCACTCCCCGGAGAGACGCCCGCCCGACAGGTCACCCGCCCCGCAGTCCACTCCACTGACCGGCCATGGACACCGCCGCCGCTGCCGATGCCACCAGGAGCAACGGGGCCAGCCCGGAGGCCCGCGAGGCGCGCAGCCCGCCGGGCCCCAGCAGCAGCCCCGAGAGCGCGGCCAAGGCCGAGGGCAAGGACGCCAAGACGCCCAACGGGCACGGCGGCGGGGAGGCGACCGAGGCCAAGAGCCTGGGCAGCGGCGGCCCCAAGGCCGGTGAGGGCAAGAGCGCCCTGTTCTCGGGCGGTGACTGGCGCCGGCCCATCGTCCAGTTCGTGGAGTCGGTGGACGACAAGGCGTCCAGCTACTTCAGCATGGACTCGGGGGAGGGCCGGCGCTCGCCCTACGCCGGCCTGCAGCTGGGCGCCGCCAAGAAGCCGGGGGTCACCTTCGCCGACAAGGGCGAGCTGCGCAAGAGCCTCTTCTCGGAGCCGCGGAAGCCGTCGGTGACCATCGTGGAGCCCGGCGAGACGCGGCGTCACAGCTACCCGCGGCCGGACGCGGGCCCCGGCCTGCGCGCCAAGGCGGCCGGCGAGGACGTGCTGTGCGACTCGTGCATCGGCAACAAGCAGAAGGCCGTGAAGTCGTGCCTGGTGTGCCAGGCCTCCTTCTGCGAGCTGCACCTCAAGCCCCACCTGGAGGGCGCCGCCTTCCGCGACCACCAGCTGCTCGAGCCCATCCGCGACTTCGAGGCCCGCAAGTGCCCGCTGCACGGCAAGACCATGGAGCTGTTCTGCCAGACGGACCAGACGTGCATCTGCTACCTGTGCATGTTCCAGGAGCACAAGAACCACAGCACCGTGACCGTGGAGGAGGCCAAGGCCGAGAAGGAGGTAGCCACCCGCCCCGGCCCCGAGGGTCCGCAGCCCCCTCCCCCCAACACTCTCACCGACTCTGAGATCCGTCTCGCCCTCCCGCGTGCCTGGGTTTCGTCCCTAGGGTGTTTTCTGGGGGACTGATCACAGAGGTCAGGAGAGTTCAGGGCTGGACGGAGGTCCGGGACTCGAGGCCGGGCTGGGGTGGGGGGGGGGCTTCCTCTGCTCCTCCTTTGTTTTTTATTTTATTTTTGATTTTTATTAGTGAATCACCATGAGGTACAGTTGTAGACTTCCAAATTTTTGTGCTTGGGTTTCAGTTATACAATGATCGAGTACCCATCCCTCCACCAATGCCCATTTTCCACCACCACGGATCCCAGTATCCCTCCCACCCCCCATCTCCCCCATCCCACCCTCTGCTCCTCCTTTGGGGGGAGATTTCTTTCCACCCTAGTGGGCTGGTCTTGGGGCAGGAGTCGCGGGCCAGGAGGAGGCTCAGGGAGCGTGGAATGGCCTTTCCAGGCTAAGGGTTTCTTGGTTCTAACTGCCTGTCTCGGGAACCCCCCAGAGGGACCCGTATGCTCGCGTGGCTTTGGGGGGACAGGCTTGGGCCTGTGGGAGGACCCCGGGGGCGGGGGCGGGGACTGGGTAGACACGGGGGTGTCTGAGCCACAGGTGGGCGTTTGTGTGTTTGGGTCTGGGCTACGTCAGCTGTCTGCCGAGCTCTGTCCTGTGATTAGGGACGTGTGGAGGCTTGTGGGCGAGGGCTGGTGGCACCCCTTCTCAGAAGGGGACAGTGGGGTGCCCTGCCTTCGTGCCAGGGGCTTTCCTGTCACTCCCCTCCCTGGTGGTTGCACCTCACAGCACAGAGGGATGAGTTCCAGGGAAGGGAGTGGGGGGAAGGTTCTCAGAGCACCTCATACCCGGGAGCCTCTGAACACCCCAAACTCCAAATGAGAAGGAGGACGGGGTCTGATTCCAGGCTTATTTTTGTGTCCTCCGGAGATTTCAGGGGTGACCAGAGATGTGGTTCAAGCTCCCTAGGGGTAAACTGAGGTCCAGGGAGGAGACTCTCTCTCGTACCCAGCCCCACCTTGCTTGAAGTTTATCCTGGAGGATGGAGACGGGACAACGGCCCAGGACGCCCCCTTCTCAAGGGTGCAGTGGAGCAAATGGAGCAGGGTCCAGGTGGAGGGTCACAGCCCCTCCCCCTCTCCGCCTGCTGCCAAGGAGGGCAGCCCCCCCCGCTGGGGGACCCCCACAAAGCAACACTGTAAAACGGTTCTCTGCTATTTCTGCTGCCCCAGGAGCCTCAGCTATCCTGCCGAGTCCTGCCTGAGTGAGCTTGGCGAGGCTTTCAGGGGTGCCGTGTGTGTGTGTGTGTGTGTGTGTGTGTGTGTGTGTGTGTGTGTGTGATGGGGAGACCTCGGTGGGAGATGTGTGTGTGTGCATGGCTGTGCTGTGTGCTTGCAGGTGTCTGTGTGTGGGGATATGCACGTGTGTGTGTGTGTGTGTGTGTGTGTGTGTGTGTGTGTGTGTGTGCAACACGGAGCGTTCAGGAGGCTGGCTGTGCGGGTACAGGGCTGGTGAGAAGCAGCCATCCGGCCCGTGGGCGGCAGGCAGCTCAAGGTGAGCGTCAGCGCCCACAGCCCACAGTTGTTTGCGAGGAGCCGGCTGGGACCAGGTTGTAGGCGGGCAGGTGAGGCAATCCCGTGGCCCTCTCGGTGGCGGTGACAGCGCAGCCCCGACCTTGCCTCCACCTGGAGTCTCTGAGCAGAGGCTTGTGGGAGAAAGGTCCTGGGTGTGGCAACCCTCCGAGCCGCCGGCTTCCAGCAGTTCCCCGTGTCACCGCCCTGGGCCTGCCTAGCCGGGTGGGGCTGGGGGCTGCTGGGGACCAGGGCTGTGCGCTCAGTGCCGGCCTTGGCACCGGGGAGTTAGTTCCCAGGAAGCCGCAGCCCCCAGAGGCCAAGTAGCTCAGGAGGAGAAGCAGCGGGTGGCCAGGGCTGAGGCTGCCCCCAGCATCCACCCGCCCCACAGTGCTCTCTGCTCCCAGGGGCGTCCCAGGGCCACCTGCAGACCTGTCTTGCCTGGTGGTTGCTTTAACAAAGGTTCTGGGATGTGGTGCAGGGTCACAGGCTCAAGGCCAGGCTTGCCTGCAGGAGGCCCCGGGCTTGATCCCCGAGCACTGTGGGAAGGAGCCTCTGAACACCCCAAGCCCCAAATGAGAGGGAGGACGGGGTCTGATTCCAGGTTTATTTCCACGTCCTCTGGAGATTTCAGGGGTGACCAGAGATGTGGTTCAGGGGTAAACTGAGGCCCAGGGAGGAGACGTTCTCTCTCACCAGCCTGTACCGCTGCCTGAGGTCTCTCTGACATCTCCTGGGATCGGGAACTCCTGCAGCTCTGATTCTTATCCGGATAATCGCTGTCAGGCTGAGAGTACAAATTTGACAATTAACGGCCTCATTTGGCAAATGTCGCCCACAGCCAAGGGCCCCTGTGGGTACTTGGGCTGCAAAGATCCTAGCAAGTGGACGGACAGGCAGGTGTGTGGAGTGGTGTGTGTGTGTGTGTGTGTGTGTGTGTGTGTGTGTATGTTTATGTGTGTGTGTGAGTGTGAGCGTTTATGAATGTGTGAGTGTGTGCATGTGTGAGTGTATGTGTGAGTGTATGTGTGTGAATGTGTGTGAGAGTTTGTGTGTGTGTGTGTGTATATGAGTGTGTGTGTTCATGGGTGCCTCCTTCCTGTGAGGTCTCAGGTGCGTCTGTCTCACCTGGGGGTTCCCCTCTTCCCCTCAGAGAAGGAGGATCTCAAGGCAGGGGGCCGATAAGGGGCCCAGTCCCAGAGAAGAGTGTGGGAGAGGAGGTAAAGGAAGTGTTGAAGGACAGGCCTGGGCAGGGTGGAGGGGAGATGGAGCTGAGGCCCACAGACCCCCAGCCAGCCTGGCAGGGAGAGACGGAGGGCGGGAAGGCAGGGTAGTGCAATGGTCAGTGTCCTAGTGCACTCCAGTTTCAGAGGCTGCTAAGGGGGGCCAGGAGCCTGGCGGCCCCACCCTGTCTGCTTTCTGGGGGTGAGAGTGCCCCACCCACGTCTCCCCGTCTCCCTCGTCCCTGACCAGCAGCGCGTCTGGCAGACAGAGGGGCCCCTCAGCAGCCCCCCATCCCGCTGGGTCCCGTGGGTCTGGTTTCGGGGGCCCCTCCCAGCCTGGCTCTGACCTCCCGGCTTATCCGCCCACGCCACAGACAGCCCGGCTCCACGCTCACCCTGCCCTGCGCGGCAGACAGCCGCACCCCTCCCTGACCTGTGCGGGGTCAGCGGCTGACCCTCCGTCCCGGCTCTGGGCCCCCTTCACCCCTTCCTTGGTGCTCTCCCTCCTCTGCCTGCTCCCCCACCCTGAGAGCGGTCCCCACTCGGTCTTCCCACTCCCTGTCCAGCCCACCCACCGCCCCCACCACCCCCTCCTCCCCTCCTCCCTCCCCTCCCTCCCTCCCTCCTTCCTTCCTTCCTTCCTTCCTTCCTTCCTTCCTTCCTATCTCCCTCCCTCCCTCCCTCCCTCTGTCTTTCCCTCCCTCCCTTTCATCCTTCCTTCCTTCCTTTTTCCCTCCCTCCCTTTCATCCTTCCTTCCTTCCTTCCTTCCTTCCTTCCTTCCTTCCTTCCTCTTTCCCTCCCTCCCTTTCTTCCTTCCTTCCTTCCTTCCTTCCTTCCTTCCTTCCTTCCTTCCTCTTTCCCTCCCTCCCTTTCATTCTTCCTTCCTTCCTTCCTTCCTTCCTTCCTTCCTTCCTTCTTCCTTTCTTCCTATCTCCCTCTCTCCCTCCTTCCCTCCCTCCATCCCTCCTTCCTTCCCTCCCTCCCCTCCCCTCCTTCCTTCCTTCCTTCCTTCCTTCCTTCCTTCCTTCCTCCCTCCCTCCCTCCCTCTCTCCGTCCCTCCCCCCCAGCCCTGCCCCACTCAGCTGCCCCAAGAGGTGGTCCTCCCGTAGGGAAGTTAGACCTACACCTGTGGGCTCTAGGTGATCCGGGGTGCTCTGGGTGGGCTGCTGCCTGGATCCCATCCCTGTGGGGGCATCCTCCCCGTCCTGCTCCCCAGGCCTGAGTCTCTTCTCTCCATCTAGCTTGCTCCTGGGGCTGACCAGGCCGTCTTGGGATGCTGGTGGGGGTGACCAGTGCTCCTCCTCCAGCCCCGTTAGGGTCCTGGTGCGCAGCGGAGGCCCCCTCCCCTCCGCGCCCCGGGCTGGGCTGCTTGGGCCTCCTCCTCTCCAGCCCTGCGTCTGCAGCCCCCCGGGGGCCCCTGCTAGGGGCTCCTGGACCCGCCTGCCGCTCTGATGAAGGAAAGGTCAGCGCAGCACTGCCCGCAGCCAACGTCCGGCCAGAGCTCCCCAGGCCTTTCCTGCAGACTTGGCTGTTCCGGCCTCACAAGATCGGGCTTGTGTGTCCTCCATGCTGGAAGGTTCTGGAGTGTCCCAGTGAGCCGGGCGCCAGCAGCAGAGCTGGGGAGCTCCTGGGCCTCGGGCCTGCTCCTGCCTCTGTGGCAGCTGTTTTTCTGGGGAGGAAAGTGTGGATGTGAGCCTGATGTGCCCACCCTGCCCAGGCCCCGCAGTGAACCCCTGCCTCCCCTCCCCTCTCCCCTCCCCTCCCCTCTCCCTTCCCTCACCCCTCCCCTCCCCTCTCCCCTTCCCTCACCCCTCTCCTCTCCTCTCCCCTCGCCTTCCCCTCCCCTCACCCCTGCCCTCCCCTCTCCCCTCCTCTCTTCCCCTCTACCCTCCCCCTCCTTCCTCCCCTTCCCCTTCCCTCCCTCTTCCCTTCCCCTCCCCTCCCTCCTCCTTTCCCTCTCTCTCCTCCCCTCTCCCCTGCCTTTCCCTCCCCTCTACCCTGCCCTCCCCTCTCTCTCCTCCCCTTCCCTCCACCCTCCCTCCCCTCTCCCCTCCCCCTTCCTTCTCCCCTCTCCCCTCCCCCTTCCTTCTCTTCTCTCTTCCCTCTCCCCTCCGTTCTCCTCTCCCTCCCCTCCCCTCTGCCTTCTCTCCCCTCCTCTCTTCACCCCTCCTCTTCTTTACCCTGTCCCCTCCCCCCTTCTCCGCTCCCCTCCCTCGCCTGGAAGTCCTCCCCGGGGCCTGCAGCCCGTTCCCTTCCCACAAACAGGTTTATGGCCATGCCTGCCCAGACAGAGCTCGGCGGCAGCACCCGCTCCTGCGTGCCACACCGGCCCACGTCATGCCCGAGAAACGTGGCACAGTTACTGCTGGGGACACGCCCGGGGTGGAGCTGCCCCCTCCCTCCCTGAGCTTAAAAGAGCACCCCCCCCCCATGCTCACCCCCAGGACGAGGGAAAGGAGGGAGTCCATAAGGGAGAGAGCTTTTCTCCCTGGGGCGGGGAGCAGACAGAGGCTTCAGCCACATAAGGGGCGTCTGGACGTCCAGCGTGGGGCGGCTCTGGGGCTCGGCTCTGGGGCTCCCCGTGCAGAGGGGCCCAGCCCACCCTGAGCGCCCACCCTGAGCGCCCACCCTTCCCGCAGACGGAGCTGTCCCTGCAGAAGGAGCAGCTGCAGCTCAAGATCATCGAGACAGAGGACGAGGCCGAGAAGTGGCAGAAGGAGAAGGACCGCATCAAGGTGGGCTTCCCGCAGCCCGCGTCCTCCTCCCCGCCCTGGCGCTGCCCCTGGGCCCGCAGATCCGCTCGTGAGACCCGAGAGGCCCTGTGCCCGCCCCGTCGCGGGCCCAGCCCCACGCGCTAGGCCGGGTCCCTCAGTCTGAGCGCTGAACCCACTGTCCTGCCGCTGCTCCTGCGGGCGCAGTCCCAGGGGGCCCTGAGGTGGCGCGGCAGGACGGGGTCTGGGGTGGCGCCGCGCTAAGAGGGTCCCGCGCTGTCCCCAGAGCTTCACCACCAACGAGAAGGCCATCCTGGAGCAGAACTTCCGCGACCTGGTGCGCGACCTGGAGAAGCAGAAGGAGGAGGTGCGGGCGGCGCTGGAGCAGCGCGAGCAGGACGCCGTGGACCAGGTGAAGGTCATCGTGGACGCGCTGGACGAGCGGGCCAAGCTGCTGCACGAGGACAAGCAGACGCGCGAGCAGCTGCACGGCATCAGCGACTCCGTGCTGTTCCTGCAGGTACCCGCCCGCAGCCCCTTGTCGTCCTGCCGCCCCCTTCTGCCGCCTTCCTTGCTTCACCCTTTCTTCTTTTGACCTTCCTTCCCTATTTCCTTTCTCTCCTCCCTCTCCCTCCCTCCCTTCCTTCCTTCAACTCTTCCTTCCTTCCTTCTTTCCTTTCTTCCTTCCTCCCTCCTATCCTCCCTCCCTCCTCCCTCCTCCTTCCTTCCTTCCTTCCTTCCTTCCTTCCTTCCTTCCTCCCTCCCTTCCTCCCTCCCTCCCTTCCTCCCTCCCTCCCTCCCTCCCTCTTTCCACCTTTCCTACCTACCTATCTTCTTCCTTCCTTCCTTCCTCCCTCCCTTTCTTCCTTCCCTCCCTCCTTCCTTCTTCTTTTCCTTTCTTCCTCCTCCCTCCCTCCCTCCCTCCCTCCCTCCTTTCTTCCTTCCACCCTTCCTTCCTTCCTTCCTTCCTTCCACCCTTCCTTCCTTCCTTCCTTCCTTCCACCCTTCCTTCCTTCCTTCCTTCCTTCCTCTCTTCATTCCACTTTTCCTTCCACTCTACCTTCTTTCCTCCCTCCCTTTCTTCCTTCCTCCCTCCCTTCCTTCTTCCTTCCTTCCACTCTTCTTTCCTTTCTCCCTCCCTCCCTCCATCTCTCCCTCCCTCCCTCCATCTCTCCCTCCCTCCCTCCCTCCCACCTTCCCTTTTTCTCCTTTCTTCCTTTCTTCCTTATTTCCATCCATCCATCCAATCATCATTCCTTCCTCCTTTCCTTCTTTTTACCCTCCTTTCCTCCTTCCCTCCCTCCGTCCCTTCTTCCACCCACCCACCCATCCGCCTATGAAACTCTTCACGCATCAGCCACCTACCCAAACATCTCCCCACTGATGTCATCCATCCGCTCCATCCACTCCTGCGCCCGGTGACCCAGCTCTCCGCCATCCACCCATCCATCTCTCACCTACTCACCTAAGCGCGTCCACCTACTCAGTGCGCCGAGCCATCCCTCCGAGTCATCTCCCTCCCTCCTTGGAAGCTGGCATGTCACCTTGTACCAGCATCAATAGTTGCGCTGTCCCCCACAGTGTCAGACTTGGGGGGGGGAGTGCTGTAACCTGGGTGTCTGCCGGGTGGTTCTTATCCTGGATCTTGTCTGTCTTTCCATCCCTCCCTGCTTCTACCTGCTCGGGTGTTTGGGGGTATTCATGCATGCCCGGTGCTCTCCTAGGTGCCGTGGAGAATAGAGAAATAGGAAACATGTTTTTTGCCCCCAAGGAGCAGCAATCCAGAGGGAAGATAAGGCATAGGCAATTAGAGGACAATGGAGGAGGGTGTGTAATTAAATGATAAAGCGTCTGGCTGGGGAGATAAGGGCAGGAGCTCGGAAGGGCAGCAGGCTGGGGCCTGGGCCACCCGGGGAGGAGGAGAAGGAGGGGAAGAGGAGTTCAGTGGACCTGAGGCCTGGTGGGCCCTGAGCAGGAGGCGGGGTGCACCAGTGAGGGGAAGGGCAGAGCAAGGTCCAAGGAGGAGGGGGAGGACGGAGCTACCTCCAGAGGGACCCAGACGAGTCATCTTCCCTCACAGTCCCAGCCCAGGTTCCCCGGGTCTTAGGACCCTCCCCTGAGCCTTGGGGTGTGCGAGATGCACTGGGGGGGGGGGGGGGGCGGGGGTTCCCAGGCAGGTGACGGCTGGTCTCCTCTGGCTGCAGGAATTTGGAGCACTGATGAGCAACTACTCGCTCCCACCGCCCCTGCCCACCTACCACGTCCTGCTGGAGGGTGAGGGGCTGGGTCAGTCGCTGGGCAACTTCAAGGATGACCTGCTCAACGTGTGCATGCGGCACGTGGAGAAGATGTGCAAGGCCGACGTCAGCCGCAGCTTCATCGAGAGGAGCCACATGGAGAACGGTAGTGGGCCGGGGAGGGGACTGGGGATGGGGAGAGGACTGGGGCCCTGAGGAGGGGACTGGGGCCCGCAGGAAGGTTCTGGGGCCCTGAGGAGGGTACTGGGCCTCAGAGGAGGGTATTGGGGCCCAGAGGAGGGTATTGGGGCCCTGAGGAGGGTACTGGGGCCCGGAAGAAGGTACTGGGGCCCTGGAGGAGGATACTGGGCCTCAGAGGAGGGTATTGGGGCCCAGAGGAGGGTACTGGGTTCCGGAGGAGAGTACTGGAGCCCAAAGAAGGGTATTGGGGCCCAGAGAAGGGTATTGGGGGCTCAGAGGAGGGTATTGGGGCCCGGAGGAGGGTATTGGGGTCCGGAGGAGGGTATTGGGGCCAAGAGGAGGGTATTGGGGGCCCCAAAGAAAGGTATTGGGGCCCAAAGAGAGTATTGGGGACCAGAGGAGTGTATTTGGGCCAGGAGGAAGGTACTGGGGATCCAGAGGAGGGAACTGGGGCCTAGAGGAGAGTACTGAGGGTCAGAGAAGGGTACTGGGGGCCAGAGGAGGGCATTGGGAACCGGAAGAGGGTATTGGGACCTAGAGGAGGGTATTGGGGCCCAGAGGAGGGTACTGGGGCCCGGTGGAGGGTACTGGGAGCCCGAAGGAAGGTACTAGGGCCTGGAGAAGGGTATTGGAACCCAGAGGTGGGTATTAGGGGCCTGAAGGAGGTTACTGGGACCCCAGAGAAGTGTACTGGGGGTCCAGAGAAAGTATTGGGGGCCCAGAGAAAGGTAATGGGGCCCGGAGAGGGTATTGGGTGCCCCACAGGAGGATATTAGGGCCCGGATGAGGGTATTAGGGGCCAGAGAGGGGTATTGGGGCCCAGAGAAGGGTAGTTCAGGACTGCCCAGTTCAGATGCTCAGTCCCTGCCCCCTGCCCCCGCCCTGGGCTTGCCGTTGGCAGGGATGGAGCCCCCACACCTCACTGGCTCTGAGGCCTCCCCGCGTGGTGTGTGCCATGGGTCAGCCTCGGGTAAAGCTCCACAGAGTCCCACGGAAGCTCAGATTCCCATGGGGGGGTGGCGTCTTGAGAGGATGGGGTGGTGCTGGCCTGTCTTGGCTGCGCTGGGCAAGGTTGAAGCCTGAGGGGCACTGGGACCCACCCATGGAAGACCCCCCAGCCCATGAGAGCACCACCTCCCACAACCCTTCCCAGCCAACCAGCCCAACTTGGAATCTGCCCTTCCCCCCGAGGATGCAGCTGGTTCAGGACTTGAACCCCAGCTCTGCCTGTGGGACCTAGGAAAGCGGCCCCAGTCCCCTGTCTGTCTCGGCGACCCCAGAGGCTGCTGAACAGAGAAATAAGAGCGGACCTCACAGGGGCCAACCGAGGTGCAGACACCCCAGGGCCCAGATGTGGGCCCTGAGCCCTTCCTCTGAGGGGGCCAATCCCTGGGTTGGGAAAGGGAGAGCCAGTATGCCTTGGAGCAGTCCCCTCACTTGGCTGTGTCCCCAGGGAGTGACCACCGCTACATGAACAGTTACAACAGCTACAGCAGTGAATGGAGTGCCCCAGAGACCATGAAGAGGTACTCGATGTACCTGACACCCAAGGGTGAGTCAGCCTGCCCTCGGCTGGGGGGCTTGGGGTGGGTCTGCCTGCCCTCAGACACATATGCACACGTTTATATATGCACAGACGTGTGTACATACACACATATGCAAGCACACACAGAGACATGGGTGTGTGCAAATGGTGGGAGGGACTGAGGGGCCCCAGAGGTGAGCTCAGGAGACAGGAAACTCTGCCCCACTCAGGTTGGGCTACTGGGGGAGTCCGGGCAGACAGGGACCCTCCCCCCACTCTGCCTGTGGGAGTCAACACCCTGCACGGGTGCAGACAGCTGGGGTGCCCTGGGCTGGCCTGGGTCAGGCGGGACGGTGGGGTGAAGGGACAGGTTTCTGCAATGCCCCCTGTGCTGGTGTCAGGAGGGGTCCCTGCCCTGAGAAGGGGCTGAAGGCAGGCCAGGAGGGGCCAGGAGAGTGAAGGTGCCTGTCCTGGGAGTCTGGGGGGGCGGCACCTAAGGGAGACACAGGCCTCGGGGGGTCCCCACACCGCTGCCCCTGCTGGCCCCCGCCCTGACTGGCACCCCTGGCCCGTGCACTGGTGACCCTCGTGGCTGCTGTGGGTGCCCACCATCCTAGGTCTCCAGGACTGCGTCCGGGGGATAGGGGTCCCGCCTCTCGGAGGGGGACCCGGGATGACTCAGGTCTTGCACTGGACCGTAAGGTGCTTCTCAGAGCCAGCAGCCAGGCCCCGGGAGGTGCGGGGCAGACTGGGCAGGAGCCGGAGGGCCCTGGCCTCGAGTAGCCCCATTTCTGCCCCACAGCCGGAGCCCGGACGTCCTACCAGCCCGGGTCGCCCAGCCGCCTCTCCAAGGAGACCAACCAGAAGAACTTCAACAACCTCTACGGCACCAAAGGTGGGCGCTGGGGTGGGTGCAAGCACTCACACGTATGTGACTGTGCGGGTGCGTGTGGGAGGAGTATGCGTGGAGGTGCTAGTGTGCATTCTGCGTAGGAATGTGCATGTGTGACGTCACCCACGGGCAGGGCAGTGGGATGCGCCTCAGCCCCTGTTCTCCCCAGGGCTCAGCAAGTACGGAGGCTCGGGATCTCCCTGACAGTCCAGTGCTGAGTTGGACCAGGCCACTGGGGTTGGACCACATGTACCTACGGCCAGAAACAGGGGGCCTGGGCGTGGTCTGTGCCCCTGAACCTGCCTGTGGGCGTGGCCAGTGCCCGAGCCCCGCCCGTGGGCGTGGTCTATGCCCAGAGTCCTGCCCATGGGCGTGGCCTGTGCCCCTAGGCCCGCCTGTGGGCGTGGCATTGCCCTGCTAGTCCCGTGGTGAGACCTAGCACCGGACCCACCATGAGGACGGGAAGGACATGGGGGGCTTGTGAGGATCCTCCCTGTGAGATCAGGTTCCTGAGGAGCAACAGTGCCCCGTCCCCCCAATTCACGACAGGCAGCCAGAGGTGACGCAGCATCAGCCTCCCAGCACCTGAGTCAGCTAAGGGGGCAGCCCCCAGACAGGGGTCCAGCCGTGTGGGTGGCTCAGCCTGGTAGCGGGGACAGGGGTCCTGCGGGGGCCCCACCATTGTGTGTGTGTATGGACACAAGGGCCAGCGGGCTGGGCAGGGCCCCACCACTGTGTGTCTGCATGGATAGCAAGCAGGCGGTCTGGGGGGCCCCGCGGCAGCCCCTGGGGTGTCGGGGCCCCTTGCTGACACTCTGGTCCGTAGGGAACTACACATCGCGCGTGTGGGAATTCTCCTCCACCATCCAGAGCTCTGAGGACTCACCCCCCGTCCAGGGGAACTCCTCCTTCTCCCTGAAAGGTGAGCCCCTGCATCCGAGCCTGGGGTGCACCCCCTCCCTCCCTGCCACAGAGGCTCTTCAGCCTCACCCCCACACTCCTCCACCTCAGCTCCCACAATGCCAGGGCTGCTGGGGGTGGTGGGGGCAGGTGGTCTCAGGCTCCCGGGGGCCACCTGTCCCCCAAACTCTGAGACAGGCCAGTGACTCAGAGGGTTGGTCTCCTGTGCCCTGGGCTGGGTGATGGGAGCAGGCTGGAGCCAGACCCCAGGGGACTCATGTCTCCTTGGAAAACCGAGGTGCCCTGGGCTGGGGCTCAGTCGGCCTGCCCGTGGGGTCCCAGATTCAGGCCCAAAGGAAGGGTAAATGGGTCGAGCGACAGAAGGTGGGGAGGGTTGACCCGGGTTCAATCCCTGGTATCCCATATGCCCCCCACCAAGCATGCCAGGAGTGATCCCTGAGTGCAGAGCCAGGAGTAACCCCTGAGCATCACTGGGTGTGACCCCCCAAAAAAAGTAAAAAAAAGAGAGAGGCTGAGCAGGCTGGAGTGGGCAGCTGGGGGACACGCAGCCCCCCAAGGGGCACTCAGGCTGCAGACCGAGGGCTCTCATAACAGGGGCCAGGGGAGGGGGAAGGGGCTACCACCCGGCTGCCAGCATGGCAGCCCGACGGCCACTCCAGCAGTCCCAGGAAGCGGGACAGGAGACAGTCCCCAGTGTGGCCAGGGGCGCCTGCACACCCAGCGTCCCCCTGGGGGAGCCCCCGGAGGAGGCAGCGGCCCCTGGGCCAGGCGCCCCCAGGTTGCTGACGGCCCCTCTCTCCCGCAGGCAGCGGGAAGGGCCCCTATCAGCTCAGCACCCTGGGCCGGGCCACCGCGGAGGTGTCCAACCCTCGGGAGCGCGGTGGGCCGCTCAGAGACCACACGGGTACCTGCCTGACCCTTGCTCCCGGGGCTCGTGGCCCCCAGACCCCCCTGGCTGAAGGGTGCTGCCGCACTGCTACCCTCCAGAACCCTGCCCGCTGAGCTAGGCTGCCCACCCCTTCCTGCGGCTCCCCAGGACCCCTGGGCCCTCTCCGGAGCAGCGGGTGAGATCCACTGGTTTCTCATCCGCGTCCTGTATCTGTCCTCCCATCCCCCCAGCTGTGGGGACATGGGAAGGAGCCCCTCATACTCCCCTGACCCCCAACCCCACACCTATATCTTCTGACATGGAGCCCCCCTTGGCGGCTGCCTGAACCCCAACCCCATGCAGGCTCCAGCGAGCTGAGCAGGGTCCCCAGGAGGGGGGCTGGCATCATGTGGGTGCTGGCTGGGCGTGGCCTCATGCACGGGCAGCTAGGGGCTGGGGCGGGGGTGCTGGGGGTCTGGGCAGGGGTGCTGGGGGCCCGAGCAGGGGTGCTGGGGGCGCTATGCTATCTGCAGGGAGGCAGAGGAAGCTCGGTAGCAGGGCCGGGGGGTTCTCAACCTGAGCTAGGGTGACCTGCTCCCAGTCCCCCTGGCCTGCTCCTCCTCCTTCTGTCTGTCTGACTGCCTCCTCCCTTTGGTCGGCACCCCCAGGATTTCCTGTGGTGCCCCTGGCTCTTGAGGGGCCGTGGAGCTTGGTGGCTCTTTGGAGAAGGATGTGAGCTGCCTGGTGCCTGCGTGGGGCAGCAGCCCTGCCCCCCTCACCCCCGACTCTCACCCCTGACTCTCACCCCTCAGGCTACCCCTCCCTCCTGCGGAGCCAGAGCCCCAAGGCCCAGCCCCAGACTTGGAAATCTGGCAAGCACACCATGCTGGTGAGTGAGGGGCCCCGCGAGAGCCCACTGGGACAGGCATGGCCCTCCCCACCCCCACTGTTCCTTCTTGTGTAGGGCCCGTGGGAGGATGGAGCGAGGAGCTGGGATGAAAGGGCCTGAGCATTCAGCCAAGATGGGCCTGACCTGAGCACCTGCATTCAGCCAAGGGTGGGCCTGACCTCAGCACCTGCATTCAGCCAAGGATGGGTCTGGCCTGAGCACCTGCATTCAGCCAAGGGTGCTGGAGAGACCGGGGCCAGGCTGTGGGGGCCCAGTGAGAGCCGGGTTTGTCCATCTGTGTAAACGTGGACATAAGAACCCCTCAGGCGAGGGTCCTGGTGTGCCCTGAGTGGGTTTCCTGCAGAGCAGGAAGGGGGGCACTAGGGGGTGTGGGGGCTTCTGTGAAGAAACCACTTGGATGAGGCTCAGGTCATGCCCGCGACTGGCTGGATGGAGTCTAGGTCGGGCTTGAACCCGGGACCAACCCTGGGCAGAGAGCCCAGGGGTTAGAGCGCAGGGCTCAGGGGTGTGGGAGCGCCGTCTGGGGTGCCCTGACGCTTCTGTCCCCCCGCAGTCTCACTACCGGCCGTTCTACGTGAACAAAGGCAACGGCATCGGCTCCAACGAGGCGCCTTGAGCAGCCGTGCCCGCACCCGGCCCCAGCCTGCCCCCCGCTCTCGCCTGCTCAGCTCCTGCTCTCGGGCCTGCTCTACGCTGGACACTGGTCGTCCCTGGCCAGGGGCGGGCCACCTCCTGCTGGGCCCCCCTCTGCTTGCTGGCAGGCTGGGTACCGGGTGCCCAGGCCTGCGGGTCACTGCGGGGCGAGTGGAGCCCGTCACCTTCCAGTGGGCCGCCCCTCCCCCAGCTGCCCATCGAGAGGATTCAGAATTGGGGGCCCCAGTGCCCGCCTGGCGGAGCTGCCCCCCCTCTGCGGGGAGTCCCCGTGGGTCCACATTGCACTGCCGGGCCTGGGGACTCACTGTGTCTCCCTCCTCCGAGTCACCCCGACTTTCCGGGGGGGCCCGGTGCTGGCCCCGGAGCTGAGGGTCTCCCCAGCCTCCTCCTTCCTCTCACTGCCCCTTCGTGGCCCCAGGCCTGGGGAAGAGACCAGATGCAGGGCTGTGGGGGGCGGTGGCCAGCTTGCAGGGGTGAGGGGGCAGGGAAGGGCGTTCTGCTTGGCACCCCCCTCCGGAATAAACTGTTTATCACTCCCTGTCGTGTGTGACCTGTGTCTTCCTGGGCCCAGGAGAGCGTGCCCCCTTGCCCTCCCCCAGTGATGCCTGGGGACCCCCACATCCTCATTTCCCGCTGAGTGCAGGGGTGCATGGTTGCCAGGCCTTGGCCAGAGATGAGCAGCAGAGGGAGGAGGGGGGTGGGGAGCAGCGGGCCCCCAGGTCGGCCTCCCCAAGGGAGCCGCTCTCCCAGTCTGAGTGCAGGCTGACCAAGGCTCCCACTGAGGGTCTCGGCCAATGATGGGATCCGGGGGAGCAGCCCTCCTGTTTTTTTTCCCATTTTGGGTCACACCCGGCAATGCCCAGGGGTTACTCCTGGCTCTGCACTCAGGAATTACTCCTGGCGGTGCTCAGGGGGACCATCTGGGATGCTGGGGATCGAACCCGGGTCGGCTGCGTGCAAGGCAAACGCCTTACCCGCGTGCTATCACTCCAGCCCAGCCCTCCTGGTTTGAGAGTCCAAAGAAGCAGGTGAGGCCTCCTGTCCCATGAACCTGGAGCAGCCTGTAGGGCAGTCAGAGACGGCTTCCTGGAGGAGGTGAGCAAGCAGGGAAGAAGCTTGGCCAGGATGGAGGGAGCCAGGGTGCCTCCTGGAGGTGGGAGCTCAGGGCGCTCTTCCTTGCCCCATCAGCTGTGTCCCCCACCCCCAGCTGGTTCCTGCTGTCTCTGGGCTGACCGCCCCATCTCCCTGGACACTTCTCCTGGCCTTCCCGAGCTGGTGTGGATGGAAGGAACCGGACAGCTCAGGGCTCCGTACAGGGGTGGTGGGGACCCCCCATTCCTGAGGCCCCGTCCCACGGGCCCGGGACCCCATCAGAAAGGTTGCGGGATCCCCACACTGCCTGTGCTCTCTGGTCTGGCCCGCGGGTCCACCCCCGTCTGTGGTGCCGGGACCCCCAGACCGGGCTCCTGTGGACAGGCGTCGGAGGGGGCACGGAGTGAGCAAAGGCTGCAGGGAGCAAATTGTCCCTGCGGGGGGCGTGGGACGTCCACGGCCGAGGGCCATGCTGTGGAGCCGGCTGGTCCGGCCGCCCCGGCCCAGCTGTGACCTCGGCCCAGCTCCAGCCTCTGGAGCCTCCGCCAGGCCCGGGCCTCCTGGGAAATAAACAGCCGCACACCTGGCAGGGCACGTGCTCCCTAATTGGGACAGGAAAATATTATTGTTGTTGAACTGGCAGCAGCCGCAGCAACAATGTCCCCGCGTGGGACACAGCCTGATTTTCTCGTCCTCCGGAGCCTGGGGCCTTTGCACAGGAAGGTGTGGGGGCCGCTGGACCGTCCCCACCTTTCCGGTCCCCTGCACCCGGGCGCCCTGCAGTTCTGAATATGGCCGGCAGGTGGCAGCATCCCACCGCAGTTATTGGGCCCTGAGCCGACCTTCTGCAGGTGGGCGGGGGGGACTGGAGACCCCCAGTCTTTGCACTCCAGAAAGCCCCTTCAGCCCGGGGAAACCGAGACGGAGACGTGGAAGATGACAGGCAACCAGGTGCTCGCGGCTTGCTCCTCTGAGCCCTGCCCCCCTTAGGGCACAGGGGATCAGTGGAGGGTCCTCTCCCCCCCCGCCCCCCCAGGGAGGGTCCCAGGGCTACTGAAGGAGTTGGGGGTCCCTCTGTGCAGGGCCCAGCTGCAAGCTCTGGGGAGAAGCCTGGCGCGGTGGGGGCGGGAGGGGCCAGGGTGCAGGAGCAAGCAGCCTGGAAGTGGGGGCAGAGGGGTGAGCTGAGAGTCACGGGGGAGCTGGGGGCGGGCGGCTGTGGAGGGTGGTGTCTGGGACGGGGCCTGGGGTCAGGACAAGCCCCTGCTCGGGGCCGTGTGGGGGCCTGACTTGTCCTCGGGGCCACGGAGCGTAGGACTTCTCCCACGTCCTTCCTGCGCCCCCTCCCCAAGTCACCTCTGCAAAGCGGGGTACAGGGGGTGAGAGGCAGCAGGCAGAGGGGCACTGCGAGGCCGCACTAAGAACCCACCAGGCCCAGGTACTCTGGGAATGGACGCAGGTGTGCGGGGGAGGGGGAACCTTCTCTCCTCCCCCACTCTGCCGGCTCCAACGCCACTCGTTCCGGAGTGGGCAGATGCCGCGGTCTTCACCCCTGAGGCTGAGTCTGGCAGAGAAGCCAGATCAGAGGGAGGGAGGCTAATGCCTCTCCCCGCGGGCCCGGCTGGCACTCCATGCACGGGTGGCCGGGGTAATTAATTTACACATTTCATTCTGCTTAAACTAACCGGCTCCTCTGGCCGCCTTCTCCACGGGGCCGGCTCATGCTGGGCCTGCCAGAGGCGTCCTCCGCTGGACCGCGGGGATGCCGCCTTCGCTGTTGCCTGGGCCCCTGGAGCTCGGGCTGGTCTCTGAGGTCACCCCAGCTGCCCCATGGGCCTAACGTCACAGGAGGGAAAGGGGAGGGGGAGCTCCTGCATCCCCACTCCCAGGGCATGAAGACCCCCGTTGTGTGTGGGGGCTCGCAGGGCGCGGAGTGGAGGTGGTGCGGGTGCTTGGGGGCGGGGGAGAGGGGAAGCCTGGGCTGAGTCGTGGTAGGGGCGGGCAAGAGGCTTCCTGCTGGGTCCCTCCCTCCCTCACCTCTGTGTCACTGGGATGCATCCCCTTCCTGCCACAGTCAGTGTCCCCAAATCAGCAAGGCAGGTGTGCGAGTGTGGGTGTCCCTGGGGGTCTGGGTGGGGGTGGGGAAGCTCAGTTTCTCCCGGATGGGGAAGGGGTGCACCTCAGACGCTCCACGGGGGTGAGGGGGCCCTCCTCCCCCAGCAGGGTCAGGGCTGTGAGGGGGAGCGGGATTCCCTGCTGACTGCAGACCCCGGGGCGCATTGGGGCCACCCCACCTCTCTCTAGGCCCCCAGTCGGGGTCAGCTGCTCCTTCCCACCATGTCCCTGTCCTGGGGAGGCTCCCAGCTCCTCCCCGGCTCTGGGGTTCCGCTTGGATGTTCCGGCTCCAAATCCTGCAGGATTTAATATCCACTGTAATCTACCGGCACCCGTGGGCATTAGCGAGGGAAACTCAAATTGAAAACGCCCCCGCCTCTATTTCCCGCGTGCAGTCGGAGAAGGCGGCTGTCCCGCACTCATGGAAGCCCCCCGTCCCACAGCCCCCTCGCTCTGTGGTCCTCACAGATGCCCCCCCCACGCACCCCAAGAGAGCAGGGACCTGGAGCCCCCGGCCGGGAGCAGTGAGCCGGGCCTGCTGGGTCTTTAGTTTCCTTGAAGATGCGATTTGGCAGTAGGAAGACAAAACAAAAAAAGCAAAATATGGAACTTACTCTAAGCCCCCCTACCCCAGGTCCCATGACTCAGAGTCATGCTCAGGGTCTGAGGAGCAAGACAGAGACCCCCAAAAGCTCGCACTTCACACCCCAGAGTGGGCCCCTTTATGAAGTATTAAACCCTTATCCCGTCCCCCAAGCCCCTGGCGTTGTGGCGAGGGCCCCGGGTGTGTGGGGTCTCAGCCCCACTCTGAGCTGGGGTGCCCCTGTGCTCTCTGGGGTACTCACTGGGGGTCACTGTGGCTCTCCCTTGTGTGGTTGTTGGTGTCCCTGATTGCTGAGCAGCTGGGACCAGGCCTGGGACAGGACCTCAGGGCAGGTCCTGGAGGACCCCGAGATTTCCCGGGCCGCAAGAAATGAAGCTGCCCACCTGAGACTCATGCAGACTCACAGGTGTCCGCGATAGAGCAGAGGGCCAGCTCTATCAGCCAGGCTCTGCTCAGGGGGCTGCATGGGGTCTGACCCCCCCCAAAGGGAATAAACAGGGGGTCCCCCATGCCCTCGGCTCAGGCCCTGCCCTCCTGCCATGACCACCTTGCAAAGCCAGAGGTTTCGCAGTGTCCACCACAGGTAGCTTCCCGCCACCCTGTCCCCTTGCCCTTGGCCCTGTCTCCAAGTGCACTGGACTCTGGGCTGTGGGGTCTCGGGGACCGGAATGCCCAGCAAGGCTGCGGCCTGCTCCTGCCCCACAGACTAGCACCCAGGGGCAGGGGCTGGGCTCTGCGCAGTGCTGGCTCTCAGAGCTAGTGGAGGGGTGCCCGGGGGGGCTCCCCCTGCACCCGAGCATCCGGCCCTGGGTGGTGAAGGTCTCCATCCGGGGCACCAAGCAGACCCACCCATGCAGCGCAGCCCGCTGAACCGGGGACTCACCCTGGCCTGCTTTTCAGGCACTGGAGGGGAAGCTCCTGAGATGCTGGGGCCGGGTGGGGGACAGGGATGTAGGGAGTGGGATGCTGGGGCCAGCAGAGTGTCACCTGCTGTCCCCAGATGCATCCCTAGATGAGGTTGCCAGCCCTGTGACAGGGTCAGCCTTGGGGGCACAGGGGTCGGTCGGGGGCAGTGTCGCTCAGGAAGTTAATCAACCGTGGGATTGCTCAGAAGTCCACAGTGAGCGTCTCCCTGCCCGCCCGCCCGCCCGCCCGCCCGCCAGCCGCTGGCCCCCACTGCCCCCGGCAATCCCCAAGGCCTGAGGGGCAGAGCTAGGCTTAGGAACGCGTGTTTGC